GAGTTCGTCTTCTTCTTCTTCAGATAAGGATAGAGAATTGGGGGAAGCACAAGCCGAGATCAAAGCGTTGAGGCTATCTGAGAGACAAAGAGAGAAAGCTGTTGAAGAGGTGTGTTTGATTTTGTCTATTTTTAACCATAATTGTTTGACTTGTTTGAAATTTGTTCAAGATTTTGTGTGTTGAGAGAAGATTTAGATTTTTGTTGTCATGAATGTGACTTTCCCTAATGTTCTTTGGAATTGTAGCTTACTGATGAGCTTACTAAGTTGGAGGAGAAGCTCAAGTTAACTGAATCACTTCTCGAAAGCAAAGTATTAATGGAAAACCCTCCTTATGATCACTTTTGTTGTTTTTTCTTAGTTCTAATCTGCTTGACATCTGATTGATTATCAAATACGTTGCAGAATTTGGAAATCAAGAAGATCAATGAGGAAAAGAAAGCCTCCATGGCTGCTCAGTTTGCTGCTGAAGCCACTTTGAGAAGGGTCCATGCTGCTCAAAAAGATGATGACATGCCTCCAATTGAAGCCATTCTAGCTCCATTAGAAGCTGAACTTAAGCTTGCACGCTCCGAGGTATTTTTCGCTCATTTTAATTTCAGTTTCGTGCTGCCTACTTGCATATCAGACATTGAGCATTTACGATGATTCTTCATAGATTGGGAAACTTCAAGAAGATAACAGAGCCTTGGATCGTCTTACTAAATCAAAAGAAGCGGCTTTACTTGATGCTGAGAGAACTGTTCAAACCGCCCTGGCAAAAGCTGCCTTAGTTGATGATCTTCAAAATAAGAACCAAGAGTTGATGAAACAAATAGAAATCTGTCAGGTGCTATATTCATCATCCTCTTTTTTTTTTGTATCTAGTTAACCAGGCTTTGGATTTCTTCTACTCATCAAGCATTGTTTGTCAACTATCTATTATCTGTTTGTTGTTATTAGGAAGAAAACAAAATCCTAGACAAAATGCACAGACAAAAAGTTGCTGAGGTTGAAAAGCTTACTCAGACTGTCCGGGAGCTGGAAGAGGCTGTTCTTGCTGGTGGTGCTGCTGCAAATGCCGTGAGGGATTACCAGCGAAAGTTTCAAGAGATGAATGTAATACATAAGATGACCAAAAAGGAAGAAAAGAATCTTTAGTTTTTTCGTTATAGAAATTTCTAACTGATGATGGAATATTTCTTGCTCTGCTTATCAGGAGGAACGAAAAACTCTTGACCGGGAACTTGCGCGTGCAAAGGTTACGGCAAACAGAGTTGCGACGGTGGTTGCAAACGAATGGAAAGATGGTAATGATAAAGTTATGCCTGTGAAGC